GTGTTCATATGTGTGTGTATGTATATGTGTATGTTTGTATGTGTATTTGAATGTACAGTATGTATGTAGATATGTGTGTGTGTGTGTGTGTTCATATGTGTGTGTATGTATATGGATATACTGTATATGTATGTGGATGTGTTTATGTATATGTATATATGTGTATGTGTGTGTATGCATGTATGTATATGCATATGTTTGTATGTATATGTATGTGGATGTGTTTATGTATATGTATATATGTGTATGTGTGTGTATGCATGTATGTATATATATGTTTGTATGTGTATGTATGTGTCTGGTTGTGTGTATGGGTGTGTGTGTTTTGTGTACATTTCTCAGCAAGGTTGTAATTATGGTATGTGTGGGTGCGTATGTGTACATATGTGTATGTATGGGTTTATATACAGTACATGCATAAGTTTGTGTTTGGTTGCTGGGTGTTTGTTTTCTTCACTTTCTGATGGCCAGTTGTCGGGTGTGTTGTCTTGTGTGTTATTGATGAACATTTGACATGTTGTCGAATTTCTATCAGTTTATCTCTTAACGTTTCTTACATTTCTTTTCTTCTCTTTCTTTTCTCTTTATTATAGTATTAACAATAAAAAAAGTCACTGATGGTGAAGATATTACAAAACTAACATTTAGTTCTGTTTTCTACTTAAGTAGATTAAAAAAAGGTCACCAGTGCCAAAAAAAGGAACATTAAAAATTGAAATATACATTTAACAATGTCAACAGCACAATAACAAAAACCCTTCAATTGCACAAGGGCTCGATGAAGMGGGAGGGTTTCAGCTAATGACTAAAACAATTTGGAGACTCTTTATTTGTAGAAAATAAAGTTGTGCAAATAAAGTATAAAAAAGTATTGTTGTCACTCTGTTGATCTGATGCAGACGCCCATCTTGGCATTAATGATATCATGATCAATACATGCAGCCCGACTTTCCCCTAAACCTGTGCAGCACAAAATAAACACGATGTAGACAAATGTACACAYGTTTTGGCTTCATTCACTCCTTTGAAAGTTTTACGTTTTTTTTTTTTTTCAATCTCTCTTTTAAATGAGACCCAAGACTCACAACTCTAACTGTAAGTAGAAAATCCTAATGTTCCCCCGTCTCTGTGAAACCACTTATTACCACTAGTGAGGATGACTCCTGGAGCATCTTTCTGTTTGGTTCAAAGGCATCGCCCTCTCCCTGAGACTTTACTGAACAGTAAACCTATTCGAACAACCAACAAACGCTGCTCTACTTCATCCTAAACGAGGTTCAACCTTCGAGTCGCCAACTGACAAGTTCTGTGTTAATCCAAGCTGCAGCTGCAGCGCGACGCGTTTGTTTTCCTGTTGGCAAAAAGCTTTATTAAATTATCTCCTCATGCAAAACTTTATTAATTCAGAAACCAAGACCTTACTTTGAATACAGCTGCAAAGTGTTTGCTCACCCCCCCCCCCACCACCACCACACACACACACACACACGCACACGCGTGCCGATTTCATTAAGCAGTTTGCGCCTCTTAACACGGCCTCTCCTGGGTGTTAGTGAACGATTTTTCCGTATTAAACAGAGGCAGGGGTCAGAGGTCAACAGCCTAATGCCTTATCTCTGATGCGCCACGACCAACCTTATTACTCCAGGCTTACAGAATAAACACACGCACACACGCWGGAGCAGGCATAAATGCATATATTGTTCACACGCTGCGAGAGCCGGAGGTGAGATGTTAGCCTCGGGGTGTGTTGAGCATGTGGAGCAGCACACGCCAACCACGTCCACTATCACACAAACACACACACACACACGTGTACGCACACAAAGCTGCGTTTTCCTTGTAAATCGCACAGATTCTGAGGGAGCAAAGAGAAGAGTAGGCTGCACGACTACAAGCTGCTTTTCCAGATGCTGAGAGTATATTAAAACACTTTGTTCACTGACATGACCTTGGCAGCAAAAATGATACGTCTTTGCAACATTATTGTCAGCCGGTCAGTGATTTAGAGAAGAGAAATGTTTTAAAGGTTCTTGTTTCATGAAAATACGACAAAAGTGTCAGAGCTCAAGTTTAACCAGTTTAAAATTGAACAAAATTTTCTATAACCTTTTTAAAACTCTATATTTTTGGTCCGTCTAGTATGAAAGCACAGTTCCAACTGATGGTGAATCTGACTATTAAAATAATTGACCCAAATGTTTTTTAAATGTACTTTAGTCAAAAGTAAACACACAGAGAGAATTTCACGTCATTTCTGTGCGCTTTAGGTTGTTTTTGTATAAATTACTGGACAAAGTCATGTCWGCGCTGTAGTTGTAGAATGTGTGTGTGTGTTTAAGTGTGTGTGTAGGTAGGCGTGGTGCTGCTTTGTTAAGGCCTGAATGAGTTGTTGATGGGTACAGCAGCTTGGTTCTCTCAGGGGATGAAGGAGGAGACGAGGAGGAGGAGGAGTATGGGTAAGTTGATAATTGCAGGGGAACTTGGACTCAGTCTGTGCGCATACACACACACACACACACACCCCCACACACACACACACACACACACACACACACACACACACACACACA